GTGCCCGTCTGTGGGGCAGTGCCGGGCGGTGTATTCATTTTGGTGCACCAAGGACTCCCCCCGCACCCCACCCCATGGCATGCCTGCAGTGCTGCTGTTTCCCAGCAGGGGGCGCTGTGACACCACAGCTGTATTAGGCACCGCTGACCCCAGCCGGCAGAGACCCCTGGGCCCACAGACCCCCATCCTCACAACTCGGGGTGGGGGGGCCAGGCCGTGGGGACCCGGTTGCCTCGCATCCCAGATCTGGGTGGACACCAGAGCTCGGGGAGGGGACGGAGTGAGCCTGGTCCCAGATCCCAGCCTGGCAGCCCTATCCGTGCCAGCGCTGTGCCCCCAGCCCCTCTGGCATGGGCTCCCCCCAGGCGTTGGGCTGGATCCTGCTAGGGGCAGCCTGGAACCTTGCAGACGAGCACACAGGGTCTCGGCTTCCACCCACACCAGGCCTTGCTCCGCAGCCTCTCCTAGTGAGGGCGCTTCGCGGGGCGACCCAGGCCCCCTCCTGTGGCCGTGGGAGGGGCTGGATTGTGGGGGAGAGGGCTGAGATAGATGGGCAGAGGGAGGAATGGGGTGTGGAGGGGAACACCGAGGGCTGGGGGGAAGGAAGAGATGGGGGCAGTAGAGGGGATGGGGGGAGAGCTGAAGGAAGGTGCAGCGCTGCAGTTGCAGGGGAGGGCATATTCACACACGTGCTGTCCTCCATGAGATGGGTGGTTTCCTGGGTCATGCAGCCTGGCAGAAGCCAAGCTCTGAGGGGCTGTTGGCAGCCAGCGCGGGCCAGTCTCCCCAAACCAGGCAGGGGACGTACATCCCCGACGGTGCCCAGATCACACCCGGGGCTCCCCGCTCAGCCGGTTCCCCAGCTCCCAGCAGGAGCGGGCAAAGGGCACCCACGGAGCCTAGCACACCACCAGCCAGGTTTGCATCTCACGGGCGTGTGCGTGGGGGGCAGGGAATGGGGGGGCAGCAGGGGGGAGGGGCAGCGGGGAACCCAGCCCCTCTGACAAACCCTGCAGCTCCCTGGGATTGCAGCAGGTGAGTGATCTGGGCAGTGAGTTTAGCCCAGCTCGGAAACCCCCTCCCCCCTCACTCCCGGCCATTCCCCAGGCAGCAGACAGCACATCTGTGCAGGGGTGGAGAGCCAGGCTGCTGCAAATCAGCAGGGGGCGCTCTCCCCTCACAGTCAGTGCTGGCCCCGGCTCAGTGTTAGGGGGTGCTGTGCTCCAGGGAGTGGGGCGGGGTGCCCCTCCCTTGAATGGTGGCATTTCACTGCTAGGTGAGTCATTCCTATGTTTGCACCTGGCACACGAACCCTACTCTGGGACTGGTGCCCCCAGGCCATCCTACCACGCAAATAACACCCCACCCTAGAGGTGGCTGCATTGTGGTGCTGGGTGCAGGTCCATTGAGACACATTTAGGGCCCTGGTACATCATGTTCGCTGGGGCCCCACCCCACCTCCTCCCATGTCACCTCAGTTACAGACATTTTGGGAGCCCCCCATGCTCAGGAAGGCCGGTACAATAGGCCCCCTTTCATCTCATCAGCCCAGAGGTGGCCGCATCTCAGCCCACCTGGGACAATCCTGTCTGTGCTGCAGTTCCCAGGACCTAGCACTGCCTCTCTGCCACGTGCCGGGGTGAGAGGAACCGGCTCGATATGGCGGCTCGGGTTCGGCGCAGGCCGCGGCTTGGATTTCGCCTCGTCAGGTGCTTTTCCTTCACCTCCCCCAGAGGCAGCGACAGGAGGGAAGGGGATGATTTGGTCCGGAGGAGGCGCAGCAGCGAAGGGCCGGGGTGGCGGAGCCAGCATGGCCTTATCACAATGAGATTCCGACACCGGAGCCGGGCCAGAGCTCGGGATCAATCCCTCTCCCCCTGGGATCCTGGCCAGGCCGAGCTGCAGCTGGAGCCGGTGACCCCCCTCCATCCATCTCGCCACTGCAGCACTGCATCCCTTCCCCGCTCTGGGTCCCCCCCACAGCTGCCTCTTGTGCCAGGATCTGGGGAGAGGCAGGCCTGAGGGGGTTGGTCTGTCCAGGCCACCAGGCAGGAATCCAGTCCCCCATTCCCTGGGCGTTAACAGCCCAGAATCTTTCAGCAGGGCTGGGAAGTGACCCCACACCCCCAGGGGCAGGAAGGCTCTAGCTCCGACCCACCCCAGCTCCCAGGGAGGCGCTGGTGCCCAGCTAGCACCGGACAAGTCCCCAAGGGTGCCACAAGCCAGGGTGCTGGCAGAAGAGTGGGCCTAGCTGTTTCCCTGCCCGGGCTGGGTCAGACCCGCCAGGCAAGGAAGTGTCGGGTACAATGTGGAGCCAGCGTTGGCCAGCACCGGGTGGGGTGTGTCAGGTCTGACGTAGGCAGATGCCCCCTCTGCCCCATGCCACGTTGTTGCCCCTTCCCACCAGCCCAGGCCGCCCAGTACCATCTCTCCTCCTGAGCCCCTGCCCATCGGGGCTCAGCCCCTCGCCCCAGCTGAGCAGATGTCCTGCCAAACGGCCCATCTGTCCCTTGATCAATAATTCATCCCCTCCCCAGCAGTAACCGATCTGGCCCGGCGGCTGCGCGGCGGGAAAGGGGCTGTCCTGTGAGAGAGCAACACAAAGTCACTTTGAGAGCGGAGCAGAGCGCGGGGGCCCCGGGGGGTCGAGTTTCACTGGCTGAGGAGCAGCTGGGCCCAGGGGTGAGCTCATGCTGAGACAGCGCGGAGGAAGAGATGCCCGCAGATCCAGCAGCGCTGCCAGCACCGACCCACGGCGGCTCCGTGCACAAAGGAATAGTGCGGGGCTGGCTGGCTGGCTCAGGGGGGCAGGGAATGGGACCTTCCCCCTCTAGCCCAGGGGGTCTCAACCTCTTTGAGGCCCCCCGAACAGGCGATAACAGCACCGCAGCCCGCCTGTGCCCAGCAAGGGGTTTTCAGCACAGCTAGTAGCCGAAGAGCTGAATTCAATGGCTAGCTAGTTACACCCCCCTGCCTAGAACACACAAAAGGAGAATACAGGGACAAAAATAAACCCGAGCCAGGGCTTATGCCTGGTTTATTTCGGTGGACCCTCTGAAACCTGCTTGCGGCCCAGCCCCCCAGCTGAGAACCGCTGCTCTGGTGCCGATCCTGCCATAGGGGTGGGGAATGGGGCCTTTCCCCTCTGGGGACGCTGGCTCCGATCTGGCCCCTGGGGGGGTTTGGCTGGCACGGGGGGGGGGGCGGGAGGAGAAGAGAAGAGGGTGATTTGGACCTTTCCAGATTATTCTCCCATTCAAAGCCCCCACCCCACCCCACCAGCAGGGCCCATCAGTTGCTCCCCCAGCTGCCATGCGGTGGCCCCCGTAAAGGAGTTGGGAGGTCTCCCTCCCCCCTCAGAGGGTCAGCTGTTCCCGTCCCAACAGACTCTCAGTGGCTGCTCCCTCCTCCCAACCCTAGCTCGAGCAGGGGGTGTTGACAGCACAGGGCGAATCAGCCCAGCCTGCCGCTGCTGCTCGGTTGACAGACAGAGGCCATCAGGCCGCAGGGCCCTTGAGCCAGTGCCTGGGCCCAGCCCTGCATCCAGCCACAGCTTTGTAAAGTCTCCGCAGCCTGCCTTGCCCACAGGTCGCCCATCCTTGTGGCATCTGGCCCCCTTCGGCTCCTCACACAGAGACCAGCTCTGGGGAGGGGAAGAGCCAGAGCCGCAGGGCAGGGAAGAATGTAGCTCCCACGGGAGAAGCCAAACAGCCTGTTACCCATAAGGGGACGATGTGAACCAACGTTTAAAGCATGTGGGTCCCATCCCTGCCCCATCCGACCACCCCTTTCTGGAGGAGAAGCAGTGGAGTGTGGGTCTAACTGTGGAACAGGCCTTCGGCCTCCCAGACTATTTACAGCCAACAGCGGGCCCTCTCCCGTCCCAGCCTGGCTCACATGACAGTGCCTGCCAGCAGCCTAGCCCCCTCATGGAACTGCCAGCAAGATCCACCCCATGTCACCGGCCGCGCCACCTCTCCGCCCCAAAGCAGGCAAGAGACAGCTGGAGAAATCAAGCTGGTTTATTACAAAAGACCCTGGTGTGACCCGTTTGCTGCAAGGAGAGGAGCTGCCCTGGAGGCTGGGGCTACAACTTACAAGACCCCGCTCCTGAAACTGCCCCGTGGACACAAGGAACCCGGGACACAAGGATCCACTAGCTCGGATGCCGCTGGAGGATCAGGGCCAGGGGAGCTGTCGACGCCAGGGATTTCTGCACCGATGAGCTGTGGGATTGTACCAGGCATGACTTACCCCCAGCCCAGGCAGGGTCTGGAGGTTCAAAGTGAGGGGAAGAGGCTACTTGGTCCCTGTCCCGCTTTATAGCTGAGCAGAGTAGTAAAATCGCCTCAGCTAGTCCCGCTGGAACCAAGCCAAGGCTGATGCTATGCTGAAGCTGTCTACACTAGGAGCTGAGCGGTGTTTCAAATCACATTCGCTACCTCGACTTCCCTGGCGCCTCGCTCAGCTGGAGAGCGGGACCCGAACTCTCAAGTACAACTGCTGCGCAGTCTGGGGAAGCGGAGGTTCAAGTGGGGCAGCCGTCACGCGCGCCTGGTGCCTCTCTGCGGGGCGTTTGCAGTAGGGTAGCTCTGCAGTGTGGAAATCCCCAGGGTAGCCAGCCCCCCCACCCAAATCAGACGACTACAGCAGCCGGCTCCCCTTGAAAAGACACCTTTGAAGAGCCGTTCAGAGACAATTCTGCTGAGAGGTCCCCCCCTTCTGTTAGGCTGAGATTCCCGGTGCTTTCCTTTAGGAAACCTCAGTGCTCCCCATTCCTAGCAACTGAGCCCGAGAGCAGGTCCGTCGGGGGGCCTACGAGCTAAAGAGCCTCTCACCTCTGTGCCGCCGAGTCTGCAGCCCCCAGCAGCAAGGCTACGGGTGGGCACCGAGATCCTGGGTAAATCCAGAGAAGCGGCGCCAGGACACTGGCTCCTTTCAGCTTTGGGCGGGTGGGTGATGGGCGTGGGGAGCCACCAGCCGGGGATGGACTTGCAGCAGCTGGGATCTCCTGACCAGTTCTGCTCCCGGAAACCCCCTTCCAATCCCACGGGAAGGTGGGAGGTGGAGGCAGCAACGGGGCGGGCAGGGGAGCTGTGCCCAGCCCTCGGCGCTCTAAGGGCTAATAAGGGAGGTACAGGCGACACCTGGGGAGAGCTCAGCAGAGCTGTTTCTGAACGGGACGGTCTTCACAAGCGATGCAGCCAGCAGGCTTCATCCAGAAGGGCTGGAGGCAGGTTCCCCGCTCAGCCTGGCTCTGGGTCACGCCAGGGTGAGGCTGGGGCCTTGGGACAGTTCTCTATTTGCCGGCGATGAGGGGGTTCCTCAGCACCACAATGACAGAGTCCCCCCGCAGGAACATCTTGGAGATGTAGCGATCCTTGTTGACGGGCTTGGATTTCTTCTTGCCCTTGCCGCTCTTGGGCACCTCCGTCCACATCTCCTTGACGTTCTCCAGCACCATGTTACAGTGCCTGGAGGGGGAGAGTGGGGGAGGGGAGGGGATCAGTGACTCAGGGACACAGCAGTGGAGCTGGGAGGAACCACTGACGACCTAGACCCCATGGCCGGAGAGGAAGCCGCTCATTGCAGCCTCTGACCTGGCATCCCCTCTGCTAAGCCGGTCCCGCTGAGCTCATTCCTGCTGGAATCAACTACTTAGTGCAGCAGTCGGGTTCTACCAAGGAGGTGGTGGAAAAACTGTAGGTCCTTCCACGTTCCCTCCCAGACCTGGAAATACATCCCGGCAGTCCTGCCACTCAGTGCCCCCGCCATGCCACTAACCACTAGGTCACCCTCCCACAGCAGGGAAAAGAACCCAGGAACTCTGGCTCCCAGCTCACTGGACAACATCCCACCCACTCTGTACTGCAAAATGGGTGGGGGATCCTTCTGCTCTTGCTGGGGAACGGGGCAGGCATAAACCGCAGCCCCCTGGGGTCCGGCTGTGAAGGAAGGGTATTTTAAGTGTATGGGGGGGGAGGAAACCGCACCTGTCAAAGGCCTTGACGCGTCCCAGCAGCTTCTTGTTGTTGCGACAGTTGATCAGCACCTGGGTGTTGTTCTTGACCGACTGGGTGAGGACGGACAGGGGCCCCGTGTTGAACTCCTCCTCCTCCCGCTTCTGCAGCTCCTCAGGGGTCATCTCGCTCTTGGGTTTGTTTAAGAGGCTCCTGCAGGCGCAGAAGGGGAAGACACGGCATTCATGGAGCCTCTGCCACTCCCTCCTCCTCCTGCCACCCCATCTGGGGTGTCCCAGCAGGGCAAAGGGCCCCATCTCTCGGGCTGCCTTGTCCCTGACACCCCACGGCGACACGGCACTACCAGCTGGGTGATTCAGTCCTCACTTCCCCATAACCCCCCCACCTCTAGGTACCTCTACACAGCAGTAGGGGTGTGATTCCCAGCTCGCCTGGACGTACAGGCACTAGGGTCTGCTTGAGCTAGTGTTTGTGGTGGATCGGGCCTGCTGTCCCAGTATCTGCCGAGGGTCTCTGACTGGCTCGTTCTCGGTGCAGCTAGGCATTTCGGGCCGAGCTAGCAGAGGTATGGCTAGACGAGTGGGACTCTCACTCCCAGCTGCAGTGGAGAGGTACGCTAAGGCTCGCTCTATAGCCCGTAAAGCTGCCGGGCGGGAACGTGTCCATTTCGATGACATTTCATTTCGAGCAAAATGTCCCAGAGCGTTTCCATCAGGCCCAGCGCTCTATTTCTACCAGCCCGGAGCGTTTGGCGTTTTCCTGTCAAAACCCCAGGTGATAAATGATACAAACCAACCAAAGTCCTAGTCAAAACGCCTCGCTTTCACGTCGCCGGAAAAAGGTCAGCCGTTCAGTGGGGCTGCAGCTGGGAACGGGAACATTTCAAAGTGTGGCTATTTCCCGCAGAACAGAGATGCCGCCCGGGGGTCCGCTCTACCGCCGCCCGGGGGTCCGCTCGGCGGGGGCCACGCTGCCCTTCGGCGGGGACCCCTCAACTGTCTCAGGGAGGGCGGGCGGCATGTGCTGAATGGGGGGGGGGGGGGGGGGGGGGGGGGGGGGGGGACTAGCCCCTCCCCCGGCTCTCTCATCTTCCAGTCAGGAGGGGGGGTGACTCAAACCTCCCCTTTGCTGTCCCCCCGCCCCCTTCCCCGGATCCCCAGCAGCGACTCTTCTCGGGGCGGGGCATCTCCCACCCCACAGCCCGGGCGGGGAGCCCCCCGGGCCAATGCCCCGCTACGGAGCGGGGATGAACGCGCGATCCCCAGGCCAGGGGGCTCCCCCCATAGACGGGGGGGGGGGTTAGGGGGCGGGGGGGCCCAGGCGCTCCATGCCCCCGCCCGTCGGGTCCGGGGGGGGGAGCGCTGGTGAATGGATGGAGGGAAACGGAGCAGACGCCATCTGCCCCCCCCCCCGCCGCCAGGCCCCCTCAGCTCTGCCCCTCCCCCACCGCAGCTGCCCCCTCAGCTCTGCCCCTCCCCCACCGCGGCTGCCCCCCTCAGCTCTGCCCCTCCCCCTCCGGCCTCCTCACATGACGCCGCCGCCGCTCCCGCGCTCACACACGCGCCGCCAAGAACCTCGCGCCGCCGCCGCTGCTGCCGCCGGGACTTTCCGCTTCCGGGTGACGGGTGAGGACGCGTGCGCACTGCCCGGCCTGGGAAGTGCGGCCCCACTTCCGGCGCCCGAGCGGCCGCGCGCCTCCGGCTACGGGGCGGCCGGAGGGACCAGAGAGCGCGGAGCGCGAAGGGGCCGCGGCCGCCCTGGGGCTCCGCCCGGCGGCAAGCACCGGAGGGCGGGGCCAGAGTCAATGGGGCGGGGCCAGACCCAAAGGGGGGCGGGGCCTCAACCCATGGGCAGAACCAGGCGGTGGCCCCCTGCGGGGGGGCGGAGTTTGCAGCTGGGACAAAGTGACCCAGGCTGGTCCCAGCAAAGGGGGCAGGGGGAGCCCCATGACCTGGTAACCCAAGAACCAGGGGTCACCCAGTGAAATGAACAGGCAGCAGGTTGAAAACAAACAGAAGGACGTATTTCTTCACCCAGCGCACAGTCAACCTGTGGAACTCACTGCCGGGGGATACCGTGAAAGCCAAAAGTATGACTGGGCTCAAAAAAGAACTCGATAAGTTCCTGAAGAATAGGTCCATCGATGGCTATTAGCCAGGAGGCTCAGGGACACAATCCCATGCGCTGGGTGTCCCTAAACCTCTGACTGCCAGAAGCTGGGAATGGGCGGCAAGGGATGGATCACTCAATAATTGCCCTGCTCTGGTCATTCCCTCTGAAGCATCTGGCACCAGCCACTGTGGGAAGACAGGATATTGGGCTAGATGGACCTTTGGTCTGACCTAATATGGCCATTCTTGTGTAACCAGTGACTTGAAAATAAATTAAACAGTGGGAAAATTGAGTAGCCAGTGCCAGGCGATGGGTACCGCGGGGGACGATTTGTGGGGACTTGGTCGCACCTAGTGCTAACCTGCAAGGCAAAGCCAGGGCTGGCCTAGGGGAAGACTGAATAGCAGGCTATATTGATGCAAGCCATGTGGATACCAGTGCAGGATCAGGGCCTGGTTAAACCACGTGGATCCCATGCAGGATCAGGGCCTGGTTAAGCCATGTGGATCCCATGCAGGGTAGGGGGCAGGATCAAGCCCCAGCGGTCTAACTCCATAGCCCTGCTGTGGATAGTCCAGCCCCATAGCATTGCGGCGGGCAGATAGCCTGGGGATGGGGGACAGGATCAGGCCCTAGCAGCCCAGCCCCATAGATCTGGGATTCGGGCTGCTGTCCGTCTCATGTTTTCTGTCTCCTCCTATGGGATCCCCTGCCCCACTGTGGTGTGCCGGGGGGCAAGGACATGGGGTCTCCCTGGCCTGGCAGAGCCAGGAGCTTCACGGAACACATTTAAGCTCCTAAATGTCAACAGGCAACTCTGCAGGCAGTTGCCTGGGCCTATGTTTAATCAACAGCGGCCTCTGGTTACAGCCAGCTGCCTGCCCGTCTCGCCTGGTCATTTGGCTCCCTGCGCACCGCAAGCGGCTCCAGGGCGGTTTGGATTGGTGCCCTGGGCACTGGGCGGGTGCAGGGAGTGGGGTGGGCGCCAGGGCCAAGTGTGCTTAGATTTTCCACTCGCTTCTCCTATCCTGCCACTGCCCAGTTTGGACACGGACAAGAACCAGATAGATAGACAGATAGATAGATGATTAGATTAGATAGATTGGGGTGTGTATGGGGATAGAGAGACAGATAGATAGATAGATAGATTAGATAGATGGGTGTGTATGGAGATAGATTAGATTAGATTCAATATTAACAAACCTAGTAAAACTCCCTGTAAATGTCCGACTTCTCTTTCCAAGTTTCTCCTTTGTGAAAATGCCCCTTTTGTGCCCCCCAAGCCGGTGACGAGCCATGTCCTGATCCGGTGCCCGACCCTGCAAGGGTCTTGCGCCCTCGGTACCTGGCTGGGTCGGGCTCCATACGGCTCTTTGCTTGTTCGCAGTCAGCTGCTCCCACGGCGAGGGGCCAGCCCCTCCAGTGTTGCCAATTTCCCCCGCTGTGTCCCAGCCGTTGGATTGGCGGTGATTTGCACCAGCAGAGAATTGGGCCTCAAGAGGGTTCAGGCCTGGGGAGAGCTGTCCCTCCGTACATGAGAAGGGAGAGTATGGCTGAAGATTGGCCACCAGCCCTGGCCGGATGGAGGGAGGAAGAGGCAGAGGACCAGGAAGCAGTTAGCCCCAGTTAGAGGGTTGTGAGTTCAATCCTTGAGGGGGCCACTTAGGGATCTGTGGCAAAATCAGTACTTGGACCCCCTAGTGAAGGCAGGGGGCTGGACTTGATGACCTTTCAGGGTCCCTTCCAGTTCTATGAGATAGGTATATCTCCATATATAGAGCCAGGGCTGATTTTTCTGACATGGCCTGCTGGAACTGGGCTGGGACTACCAAACTCTTCAGGCCCAGGGGACGCCCGGCAGCCTGTCCGGTGAGAGAGACGTTCTAAGGCCGATTTTCGCTCTGAAATCCACACGTGGCCTCAGATTGGCTTGAAAATTGCTGTGTGTCACGGGGGGCCCTGGGGAAGATGACTGGTCCAAATTTGAGGTCACTTGAGCAAAAGGTTCCCGAGATTGTACAATTCTCATAATGTTATTTTGCCTCGGATCCTCCCCAAACTCATCTCAGCCAGTGGGCTTGATCTCAGTGTCTCACACCCATGGCCCCTTTGGGGAAGCAATACTGAAAATCTTAGGGTAAACGGGTCTCATTTGTGACTGGAGTCTGAGATACATGGGTGGGGGCAGCAGGCTTGGGTCTGTGCTGGGCTCGGGGGATGGGGGTGGAGATACAATCTGTAGGCGACATTCCTGGCTTTCTTCTGCCTGGAGCCATGCCCCCTCCTGGCCCCGCTTGCACATTTATAGTGGGTTATGTATACATGGTTACTAGCTAATAATAAAATAACAGCGGTTGTGAAAATCCCTCCAGTCCCTTTGTGACATGCACCTGGCAACAGGCCTGTTTGCTGAGGCAAAAAGAGGTCAGCAAGGTAAACAGCTGCTGTGCCCCACCCCAGAGGTGGCTGCATCTCAGTGTTGGGTGAGTGATCCTTGCATAAACTGACATGCCATGCCCAGATGTGGCTGCGTCTCGGCACTGGGTGAGTGATCCCTGTCTAAACAGTTGACACATCCCATCACCGAGGCAGCTGCATCTCAGCCCTGGGTGAGTGATCCCTGTCTAAACAGCTGTCGTGTCCACCCCAGATGTGGCTGCATCTCAGCGATTCCCCCCCACACGCACGGTGTGTCAAGTGCTTTGGAGTTAAACGCGCCAGTGAAACGTGAGAAATTATTATTTATTAACAAGCTCAGGATCTCACTTTGACAGGTCCCACCCGGCCTGTCATTCCTTTCACAGCTCTGGCAGACAGCTCACATGCTAACGCCGCGGCTCAGGTTCCCGTCTCCTGGCGGGACCGGATATCAGAGACCCTTAAAGAGGCAGCAAAGAGCAATTAATCTTGGTAAATGGGGAGCAGCCCCCCGGGGGATCATTGTTAACAAATGATTTGTCAGGTTGGTCCTGCACTGCTCAGATACTGTGAAATAACCAAGGATAATAAATAACACAATAAAAAATCACCGCTCCTAGGCCAAATCAGGAGCTCTGGTTTGTATTCAGGTTAAAGATGGGTTTATTCCCACATGGGGTAGGGGGCCCTAAGAATTAGATCCTGAATCAAGGGGAAAGGCCCTGTGTCCCATTCCCCGTCCCCCTGAGCCAGCCAGTCCCACCACGCTGGGGCCAGATTGCAACCCAAAAAATAATAGTTGGGAACAAAAAACAAAAGGCCAGATTCTGAGATGGTGGAAATCAGCATAATCCCATTCACTCCAATGGCGCTACACCAATTTTCATCAACTGGGGATCTACTGATTTCGGTTGAGCTGGGTATATTTAAACCCGCTTGGGATCTGGCCCACACGGACTCCAACTGAGTGGCGGCTGATTTACCCCAGCTGGGGACGCGGCTGTGTGTTTAGAACCTGGCCTACGAGAGAAGCGATTTCTTTACAAACATTTTCATCGTACGATGGTTTTCCCTCGACCCAGGCTGTGGCTGTGCTTGCCACAAGAAAGAGAAGCGGAAAGGTTTGCTCTGGTTTTATTGTTGTAAACATTCACAAAAGGGACTTCGGTATTCAGGGGACACTGCAAAACATTTTCAGAAAGTGGTTGAAATCTTAAAAATATATATTTTAAAACACCATTTCAAACTCAGCACCAAGGATATAGGTTTTTTTTCTTTTTTGCCCTGTAACATTGAGACCAAAAATGTATAGTTTTAAAAGGATGCCATCAACGTATTAAAAAAAATCACGCTTTTTTTTTTCCTTTTCGGAGCAGGTTTAGCTACTAATGTCACAAACAAGAGCCAAGATCTCTGATTGATTAGAGAAGGGGGGAAAATGTTCCGTTTTTCAGTTTGTTTGCTTCACGCCTTGTCTGTCTTATCAATTCATGGCCGTACCTTGCATAGTTAGTCAATTTCACCCATTTGCGTCTCGTACAGCAACAAAACGTAAAACCAAACCAAACCAGGAAAACGTTATTTTAAACCCGCAAAAACGGGCAGAGGGCAGAAATAGGACCTGGAATGACATTTAAGTCATTGCCTGAGAATGATCAGCAGCCTGGAAAAAAAAACAACAACCCTCTGCTATGAGGGGACAGTTGAAAAAGATTGTGATTGTTACCTTAGAAAGGAGACACCTGAGAAGGGATATGATAAGCCTATAAGATAATGAAAGCTCTCAAAAAGGGAGAAATGGAGCTTCTGTTCTTACAACGACACAAGGATAAGGGGGACATTCCACTTAATTAAAAGGTTGAAAATTCAAATCAGAGCAACAGGGCCGCCCAGAGGATTCAGGGGGCCCGGGGCAAAGCAATTTTGGGGGCCCCTTCCATAAAAAAAATTGCAATACTATAGAATACTATATTCTCGTGGGGGCCCCTATGGGGCCCGGGGCAAATTGCCCCACTTGCCCCCCCCCCCGGGCGGCCCTGCAGACTAAAGGAAAGACTTGTGCACACAGCGTGCGATTAGACTGGGGAACTC